AAAAAAAAAAAAGTCATTTTTTAGTTTCAGATAATTATCTGTTCATGTCCTTTGCCCACTTTCCCTTTGGGTTTTGGTCTTTTTCTGACTAACTCCTCAGGGTTCTTTACATATGAAGGAAATCAAGTTTTTATATTTTGGATGTATTGTCCATATTTTTCCCTAATTTGTAGATCTCTTGATTTTTGTTTATGGTATTCTTTGCTATGTGGAAAATTTAAAAATTTTATGTAGCAAGATTTATCCTGTTTCTCCTTTAGGCCCTTTGAGTTTTCATATTAATACTACCTTTAAGAGAAGGTAAATGTGTGGTCCCATAAGAGTTTCTTTCCCTTGGGAGGCTTGAAAATGTTTTCTCACCCACAGAGTTGTGTATAGGCCCAGACTTTTTCTGTAAACTCACAGATTGAATACCCTCTGGGTTTTACAAATGCTGTAGTATCTGGCATGCCCGCCACTCTCCTCCCCTCCCAGGCCCAGGACAGGCATGAACAATGGATCCCAGGATGCTAAGCAGACATGACTAGTGGATGGAGGAGTTGGCCTCATACCTACAGCCCCTTTACCAATCCTGTTAAACTCCTGCTTTTTTGCCTTGCAGTACTGTGAAGCATGGTTTCTGCACACCTTGAATGATTGGAACCCCAAAGACTCAAGAAGGAGCTAAAGATCTTGAAGCAGACATGAATAAAACACAAGGTATACTGCACTAAAGAGTGCGTGGGAGAGAGACAGGCACGTTGATTCCACAAAGGCTCTTGGCAGAGGAGTCTGGATCTAGAAAGATGTAGCCGTTCCTTGACTGACCCTGCTGACCCCACCCTCCACCCGTTTTTTTGAGACAGTGTCTTGCTCTGTCATGCAGGCCGGAGTGCAGTGGTGCCATCATAGCTCACTGCAGCCTTGACCTCACAGGCTCAAGTGATCCTCCTGCCTCAGCCCTCCAAGTAGCTGGGACTACAGGTGCACACCACCATGCCCAGCTCTGTATTTTTTTGAAGAGACAGGGTTTTGCTTTGCTCCCCAGGCTGGTCTTGAACTCCTCCGCTCTAGCAATCCTCCCACCTTGGCCTCCCAAAGCGCTGGAATTACAGGTGTGGGCCCCTATGCCCAGCCTGGGGCCTATTTTCTACTCTTGATAAGGTGTTGAGGTAGTAGGGCAAGTGGTTCACTTAATTCAGAGCTCTGCTCTACTGGTCATGTGACACTGGGCAAGTCACTTGCTCTTTGGAGGCCTCATTTGCACATCTGAATGATGGGGGCATTGATAACA